ACAGTTTAGGAACTGGGGTAGTAACTATAGTAACGCAGTGTAGGCAGAGCCGTGACGTCATCTTCAATGCGAAACACAAAACCAACATCAGCCGTTAGCTGTTATCCCTCAGAGCTCACAGCTCCTCATATCTGTTCAGAAACTAGACAAAAGTTAAACAAGTACAAACCACAGACTGCCTGTGTCATGGTGAATACAGTCGCTGGTTTATTTAAGTCTGTAGGCCGTTGTTGTGAGTGTGGACGGTCCGAGCATTTACAACGATCTCCATTCAGAAAACACACATTTTAAAAGGTTTCTCGCCTGCCGTCTGTCTGCAGACTTGTCAAAGCATTAATTCATGGTTTTTACTAACCGGTATCAGTATGTTGTTACTTCGGCATCATTTTGAAACATGTTAAATTACAATTAAATCATGGTAAAATATGTTCATTTTGTTGTAGTTGCCAGCGATTCTCTCACTAGTTTAGCATACTCAGCCCGGTTGTTGGCCCGGAAAGAACCTCAATTTTGGAGAGCCAGAAAACTGTGAAAAAGTATCCGCTAGCCAGAACTACGCCTAGTGGAAACGCAACCAAAAACGGGCCGGGCACGGCACGCTTAAACCGCGCTCCGCACTGTAGTGGAAATGCGCCATAATACCCCTTTCCCACCAAACCTATTCTTTTTAGCCCCAGTTGTGTTTCCACCACCCAGAGCCAGACTGGTGCTGTGTCATTATATCATCGTTTACGTCCCTGATTTTCTCCCCAACGCCGCTCACAACATCAACAATGGCGTTCTGCATTGGGTCGCTGCTTGTGTTGCTATTAATCGTACAAGGCCAGATTAAATTAAAGAACAACTTCTCCAACATTATACTCTTTCCAAGAGTGCAGTGCTTCATTGTTTATTTATGTGGTTCGGCGGTTTCTCTTGTATTAGATGGGTGATGTTAACTGAAGCTCATCTGGCTATCTTGTTTATATCATATATCATTTTGTGGCATAAGCCATTTTCTACAGGCACATTTAAGTAATTATACTTAATAATTAAGTAGAACCTCTGTATAATTTTACATTTAGCCAAATGGACTGAAATATTGTCAGTTCAAATGTATGACACAAGGTTATTGGAGCAATTTTCCCTTTTAGATTAAATTTACTGAAAGCGTTTTAACCACATCCTGTTGAAATTCATTTAAACATTTCTAAATAACACATTTAGCACATGAAGTGTTAATGCAGGGGTTCATGCAGGGCTCTGGGAATACATTTAACAAGGTTGCTTACATAATCGAGTGGAGGAGAGGAAAGGCATATCATTATATTCTTGCTTGCAGCAGCAATTCTGCAGCAGTTCAATGATTCAGGGTTTTCAAGCGTTTACATTCACACCACTGAATCGTGTTACCGCTCAGAGAAATGCACAGTGCACGCTAACCAGCCATCAATCTATCACTGGTTAGTAATGAAACAGAAATGTGCACGCATTTGGAAAAATAGGCAACATGCAGCGCTGGCAGTTGGGCTTGTAAAGGCTATGAAACACAGCTGTGAGATATGGCCACTGTGCACAACCCAAATAGATCTGAAATACAGGGCCAGTAAAAGAGGATATAAAGGTGTAGCGGGAAGTATGTGATGGAGTCCAAGATACAAAATAAAAAGTGTGTGTGCAATAAAGAGGGAGATGTGCATGTCAGGGAGAATGATGTATTGGCATGGGGCCGTTTATCTGGACCCAGGACCCAGATGTCCTTTTAGCCTGACATCTGGATTCTGTTGCTTTCACTACTCTGTTATTTGTGTCACATCATGTTGTCCTCACAATATTACAGTAATTTATCCTAAAAAATGACTTGTGTGACCTTGAGGAACAATTCCTATGATTGTTTTCTGCTTTGCCACCTTAACAGCTTAGTTAGACTCAACCATTTGATTAAGTTCCCCTGGTAATAATAGTGTAAGCTGTACCAACAGTCCAGCCTTTAACATTAAAACAAGCTTGTGATTGTCTGATAAGGACAGTCTCTTTGGCACCCCTCATCTGTATCTATCCATCTTGTTATGAAATCATCAAAGAAAATTGATGAAAACTTAAGACTTTTAAACAAAAGATTCAAAGCCATACAGCTAGTTTTTTTCATGCGAAGTTCACAATGCAGTTGAAAATTGTTTTCCCTTCCACTCATAGTGAACATCCGTCCTAAATTAAAGGGGCAAACCCACACCTATTATGTGATGTCACTATATTTCATCAATACAACATTTAAAACAATAATTAACATAAACACAGGGAAATAAATGTATATATATATATATAAATAAGCATCTCCCCTGCAGGGTTGAGGTAGTTACTGAACAAAAGTAATGAATTACACTTTACTAGTTACTTAAGAAAAAAAAAATAATGCCTTACTTTACTAAATTACTCACTGCTTAAAGTAATTAATTACACTACTAGTTACATTACTTTAGGACTACTCTGTAACATCACCTGGATTACATTACTGCGTGACCGACAAATGTAATCTGATTACCGTAGCGCGTTACTTTGTAGCGTGTAACCCCCCAACACTGACATCCTGCATCATTCCCTCCCTATCCTTCCCCTGTCTTCATTCCCTGATCCACTTGATAGTGTGAATAATAATCACCATGTGCGATCCATCTGTTGTTGGACAAACATCAAATGTGTGATTTCTGCCAGATTCATTTGGCGAGACATCACCTTCAGCTGAGGGTGAGCCAGCAGCAGAGAGCATGCTGGGGGCTGTCACAGCAGATGCTTCCAGGCGCTCCAGCCTCTCCATCCTCCTCACACTCACCTTGCCTCACATCTGCTCTGTCTGATCCTCTTCCAGCCTCCTCCTTCCATCCTGCCCTTTATCCCCTCTCCCCTCCCCTCCGTCCCACCCTCGTGGTATAAACCCATTAGCTGCGGTACACACACACACTTGTGTTATGTAAAAGCTGAGGTTTAAACACTGTATAGAGACTGCAGAGGGCTGTGGCAGTGATGTAGCCCCCCCTAGAGCATCCACCCTCTGTGTCTAATGGGGTTATTAATAGTTAGGATAACCCTCCCTTGTTCATAAGTAACTTGTTGTTCAGTCAGCTGACAACAATTCCCTCACTGTTCATGTAGGTAAACAGTCGTGCATTCACATAAAACCCACCCGAAAGTATATTAGAGAATTTCTCTTTCAAAAGTGATCTATTATGATTAACCCTCCTGTTGTGTTCAGGTCAAATCTGTCAATTTTACTACTTGTCATAAATATAGTGTTTCACATTGATTGCTTCAAGGTCTTATGATATCCTCCACAGTAGGCATTTGAACATTATAAAGTTGCTGATCAGCAATGTGGAGTAGTCAACTTTGTTACACCTATTGTGTTCCCAGTAAGAAAATGACTACCATAGGAAATGAAATATAGATTATGAACCCTAGATCATGTTCCTCCATCAGATAGGACACCCCCCCCCCAAATAGACAACCATTTGGTACTTTTGAATACATTTTCATTGTCTATTCTTTCAATAGGGTGATTTGGTTTTGGTTAATGTTTTTTGTGTTGATGTTAAATTTGACCGGAACACCAAAGTATAGGGGGAGAAACAAACACGAAAGGAGGGTTATAGGATTATACATTTGCATCAAATGTGGCAGCAAGTGACAATTCCTGCATTTTCAAATATAGTGTTACACAGGATATCCATTGAACAAAAATATTTAAATGAGCAGAAGAGGTCATATTAATTGGGAACAAAAAGTTGTGATTCAGTGGTAATGTTGTGACAGTCTGCTGGTAATTAAATACATCAATTATTTAGTAGGCAGTTTGAAGTACACACTGATTGAGTTTGTAGTATACCCACTATCAAGTGCATCAAGAACAATTTATTTTAGAATGCCAAAGAATGCCAAAAGATTAAATGAGTTTTGTTATGCTGTTAAAATCAACTTAGAGAGGCTAAACAAAATAAAATTCATCACAGTGAAGAATTTGTGTTTAAATGAATGAAAAATAGAACTTAGACTTAAGGTAATCATGGACCTGTTTCTTTCCAGTTCATTCTAATTAGGAGCACCTCTGTGCATAAAGGCAGGGATTTGAAGCTGGATCCCAGATCAGCCATTCAGTGAATTTCGTGTGGAGCTGTTTAGTGGTTGGTAATGAATACTGATGAGATTCTGCTCTCTGTGTTTTATCACATTTAGCAGTCTCCACCAGCCCCATGCAGGTGTGCAGAACAGTTAGTGCCCATCATACAGCTTTTGAGAACCTCATTATGACAATGAGTCAGTTTCAATTATGATTTATTATTATTATTATTATGCACCGTTTTCCCCCTTCTACTCCAGTAGGAGTCAGGTGAGGGTGTTGAACTTTTCCTTGTACATGTGATGTTTTGGTGTTGTTGTTTTTTTGTTTTGTTTCTTTCCGTTAACTGTCAAGTGGGAACTAAGTTGTTTTTTTTGTAAGTTTTTGTGTTTCTCTTATTTTCCTACGATACTGTTGTGATTGGCTGTGAATAAGAAAATAAGGACAGACCATCTATTTCTATTCTATTTTATTCTTTCTAGAAAGGGGCAGGTAATATAAGATTATTTTCTTCTCCGTGCTCCTTTCCGGGTATGGTGTGTTTATAGAGACATGTTTTGTAAATAATTGTTATACATTAAGTTGTGCATACCATGAACGGAACAAATAAAAATGAAATGAAATGTATTACCAAACATACCTATTGTCCTCACAGCAATCATTCTTATAATAAATAGGGAACCAAAAAAGGGTGCATATTTATATCGTGTTGGTGTTGGTTGTGTTACCGCTGCTGAGTGTGGTTTAGTTTGTTAAATCATAAATCTTTCTATACAGTTACACTTCTACCACCAATGCTAATGGCGGTAATTTGCTTTTGTGCAGTTTTAAAACGCCGCTACATCACTGGCAAGATGCCCTCTTACTCATTCAGTCCCTTTCCTTATTCTCTTGTCTTCTTTTGTTTCAGAAACCCTGACAAAGGTCTTCAGTTCCTGATCTCTCGAGGCTTCATCCCAGACACACCCATCGGCGTCGCCCACTTCCTGCTGCAGAGGAAGGGCTTGAGCCGGCAGATGATAGGAGAATTCCTCGGAAACAGCAAGAAGCCTTTCAACAGAGATGTCCTAGAGTGAGTGGCACACATTATTTCCATGTTTTAAGATACACTAAACTAAGATAAACCTGCTCTTCAAACAGGTGATTCTCCTACTAAGCCCTGGTAACAACACAGTAGTATCCAGTGGTGTATACATCATAGACATTTTTCAACTTTATCTCAGGGTCAGATGATTCCCTGAATGAAAAAGGAATACAACAAAATCAGTATCCGCCTATCAGAGCTGTTATTTTTGCAGACGTTGACTTTGATGACATTTTTCACCCGAGTAAACAAACAGAATACAAGCTAAAATTGGAGTGTCACGATCCAACAAATGATCCCTCATCTAACGCTTCAGATTGTAAGTCGAGTCAGAACTGTAGGAGGAAGAGAACAAGCTGATAAGACAAAAATAAAATAAAAACCTTTACTGCCCTTTTTAGTTTTGCTGCTTCTTTTACCACATTGGTATCAAAAATGCATTTGCTATTGTGTCTGCAGTATTTTATCAGACAGGAAGTCACAAACAATGTAGCTATCATCTGATAATGTAAAATGTGTTTTGGAGATATCAAGCATCTCATCAGAATAGAGGAATATTTTGTTCTTGTGTTATCTTTAAATTAGATCCAAACCCCCAGCGTAGATCGAATTATATCCTCTATTTGGAGATGAGGACAAAGCTTGCCTTCTTACATATTTAAGATAACATGACTTTTAGTCCATTTCTGGCAAACCCTGGATAATATGACCCCCAACCGATACTATTTTTAAATGTAAACCCTGGTAACAAGTTATTTGATCAGGCTTAACAAAGCTTCTATGCCCACTGGGTGTATAGCTGCTTCTTATGTATGACTCATCAAATAACTATGGAGACTCTGCACACACGTACACATATGACTCACTTCACCCAGTATGTTTCCTTCCAGGTCATTAACCTCGTTGACTTTGCTTTGAAGCTGCAGAGATTTTTTCTTCTGTTTCATCTTCCTTACTTTATCTCAGCGATTGTCTCTGATTCACCAATTACTTCTAAATTTGCATATCAACCCGGAGGAGGTACCTCGGACCTTTTATCCTTCATTTTGTCCAAGTTATCAAAACCGGGAAGAACACACTTTTAGTCTTTGCAAGGTCAGACATACACGACGCAGCACTCTGCACAGTTGTTCACCTCGGGCTGCCATCATCTAATATCCAGATTTGCTTAAATGGACGCCATCATGGCCCCAAATACAATGTATTAACAGGATTATGCTTTTAAGGCTCCATACTCAAATTCGCAGATCTGATATGCTGCAGTGAGGTGACGTTGGGATACATAGATGTATATGTTTCCCTATTTTCCTACGGTGCAGACATACTGCCACACTGAGTGGAAGTGATGTTGGAGGGGAACATGACATGGAGAGTGCAAAGTGTGTGAGAGCACTTTCGATAAAGTGTAGTCACAGGAGGGCCGGTGAGGGATCACATTCTAATGTGAAAATCACTCATGTTGATTCACTGAGCCTGAATGTGTGTGAGTGTGTGTGTGCCTCCTGTTTGTGAATGCATGTGTGTCTTTATTCCTGTTTTCCTCCTCTCCCTATAAAGCAAACGGTGCCTCATTCTCTTCACATTTCATAAACAAACATAAACAATAGTAGTTAAAACGTCTAAAGTCAATTAACCCAAATTGTGCTTATAGATTTGGGTTCCAGGAAACGAGGCACCCGAGGACTCATTTACTGATAATCTAGTGTACTTGTTTAGCGAGAAAAATGTGATCTGTTTCCAGACTGTCATCTGCTCATTTGTTGCTTAAAATATGGTTCCATCTGGCCTGCTGTTTATTTTTATATGTATTTGCTGTGTGTGTGTGTGTGTGTGTGTGTGTGTGTTTGTTTGTCTATCTGCCAACCCAGCTTTGTAAATGCACATTTTAAGCCTTGCTCTGCAGACAGATGTGTCTATTCCCCTGCCAGGTACTGCATACGCATCAACAAAGTGTGTGTATGATAACAGTATATGTGCATGTTAGTTTGCCTGTGTTGGTATGTTTTAGTATGGGAAGGAGATGGGGGGGGGGTGAGAGGGCTGATGTACTGAGGCTAGAGAGCATCTCGCCTGACGTTACATAAACAAGGAGTGACAGCCAGGGAGGAAGGGGGGGGAGAGAGGTAGTGGGGGAGGAAGTGAGTCATGAAAACGGCGATGAGAGAGGCTCGACAGTAGAGAGGCGATCAGGAGGAAGATCCAGTCACAGTCACTGTACTGTCAGCGTTTCCTTTATGGGTTGGAAATGTGCTTTAAACGCAATCACTTGTAGGAATAATACAGTTATTGTCAGAGTGTCTGGATAGATATGTGTTAGAAGTAATAGCATCAAGTATATCATATGGTACTTATAGCTGTTATAGTGATGGCCCTATAGTAAAATATGCAGTTTGCAGGGTTTGGAGGGTTACTTTAAAAATGTAATCCGTAACAATAACTAGTTACACATACAACACATTTGATCAGTAATCTAATCTGAGTATGAAAATATAAAGTAATGTATCCTGATTACTTTCCGTTACTTCTGGATTACCCCAATATCAAATGCAATACAAATAAAAACAAAGTAAATAAATATCAATAAGATGTTTTTAACTTAAAGGGATAGTGGAAATCCGCGAATTTTGGGTTTAATTTATGTATTTTTATTAAAAATAAGCATAATAAACAATTTTTTTTAATTTCATGCGCCTAGTTTCATTTTATTTTCAATTTTACTGCGCCCTCTCAATGAAACGAAATACTTCGGGAATCGTCGGGAATCTTCGGGTGATGACGAGAGCATAGGAAGACGGGCACAAACAATGGCGGACATTCAATAGCATTTGCATGTGAATAGCCGACCTTTATTATGGTGAATAGATGTGTTTTGTATGGCTGTAGTGCGACAGCAAATGCAGAGAATGGCGTATCGACGCATGCGTTTCCAAGAAACCCAGCCATTCGTCGTCAGTCGGTGAAATTTGTTCAGATAACACGGGCAAACTTCACGGAGCCGAAGCTGACGAGTAATTCGGCAGTCGTGTGCTCCCGTCATTTTACTGACGATTGTTTCGAGATTCCTCGGTCTCTAGCTTTAAAAGCTTTAGGAATCCAAACTATAACATATAATAAGTACCCTGTATCAAGATTGATGCAAAACAAGTTAAATTTGACCTTTTTAGAGAGGTTTAGAAAAATAAAGTCCAAGCGGACTCACCTCTGGGTAATTTGGGAACCAACAGTTCCATTTGACCTTTTTCACTGTAAAAATCATTTTATTACTTAGAATTTTCACTATAGGTAATACTATAAGACTGTAAGACGGCAATACTTTATACCGAGTATATTGCCATAAATATGATGATTGATTATCAGTAAAAAATTCTACGTGACACAACGACATTGGTTTAACCTTGAGATGCGTTTTTATTCCGTTGAACACAACTTTTGATCACAAATCAAAAAAGGTAAAACGTAATTATTGTAATATTTTTGGAACCGGATGTTGTTTACTTTCTCTTTTCTGGCTGATAGCTCCAGGAATTCGAGGTCTTACAGTGATGACATTACATGTGTGGAATCTGTGGAGTCTCAGCTTTAAATCGTATATCTTGTTTGTGCAGTTAAGATAGTAATAAGGGCATTTCTACCGTGTGTTGTGTGTAAAAAAGCGTTAGCATTAGTTAGCATTATTTCGCTCAATGCTAATTCAAAGGCTTGGTATTACTCTTGTGTTTTTTCTAGCTAACAATTGTTCTTATTGTCAGTTAGCGGAATTTCTTACCTTTAAAAGGGTATGAAACATTAATAGTTTCATAAATGTTAAGAAGCCCTGAGACATGTGAGAGAAAAAAAACTGTGGGAGGGGTCCACTGGGGGGACCTTCGGGCTTAACTGGTTAACAATGATTAATATTTGTAAAGGCTACAGGTGATCTTAAGATGCGTGAGCTATGCTTAGGGACCTACCAGTCAAGATTATTTGTGCGTAGGGGTGCATCATCTGGCGCCTGGTCCTGGTCATCCTCGCCATTGCCCATGCCGTGAACCATCACCTCGGGCTCGGGCTCGAACAAATAAGGACGTAATGGTCCATCGTCTGGCTCAATATTGTCACCATCGTCGCTTACTGAACCGGATTCAGATTCAGTTCCTAAAACGACATTTTCGTAGGAAAGCCGAGAGGATGTTTCTGACTCGCTATCATCACTGGATACCTCGTACAATCCTTCTTCTTTGTCTGGTATATTTGCCCTTCCACGTTCATTCTGCATAGACGCCATGGTTTGTTATCGTATCGTCTTCCTAAATTTTCGTCACTTCCGGTTTGGCTGAGTCGAACATTTCGTTTCTAAAAAACTTCGGGGAAGCTGCAATAAAGTGCTTCTAACATGCGTAAGGCAATTATTATATTTTTTTAATCAGGTGTGATTGTTTTGGTACGTAATTATGCTTGTATATAAGTTAAAACGAAACTATTTGAGGTTCCATTTCCACTATCCCTTTAAGTGTATGTAACAATGTAACCTTAGAAAATAAGAAACAAGATATGCATATAAAAAATGTAGTAACAATTTTGAATAAATCAGGTGTCCCCCTACTACTGTATTAAAGGTCCCATGTCATGCTTTTCCGGTTATTACCCGTCCCCTTGTGTGTTATGTAGCTTTTTATGCATGTAAACGGTCTGCAGAGTCACAAACCCTCAAAGTACACCCTGTAGCGAGTAAAAGTTGGAGATTTTTATTTTTCCATTTGTTTCTTCCGGGAACCTCGTGACGTAACGAGTACCTCAGGGACCAATTGGTCCAAATGGACCAATCCGCGGAGCCTTTACGCTATGTCCGTGGAGCCGTTATGTTAAGGATTTCTCAGCCTGAGTCTGTGTGTAAGCACACACACAGACTCACAGCCAGGCTGCGGGTGTGTGTGTGTGCTCGGGCTGGTTTCGGATGGGTTGCGCTGTGTCTCGCTGTCTCGCCGACCCAGAAACCACTCCAGTAAGCC